AACTCCTTTAATGTTTTCTCTACTTTATATACTCTATGATACATTTCAGGGAGACTCAGATAATCTTAAGAAAACTCATGTGGAAAGACTTTTGGTTTTCTGAGTTTTTTTATAGTTTCTGCAAAAGTGTCTAGTAACTGTTCTAACTTCAGTTTGATCAGCCTGACCCATGCCCAGGACAAGAACGTGAGCCATTTGACTCCTTTTTTTTTTTTTTAATTTATCTATTTATTTATTCTGTTAGTACCAAATATATCTGTATCTGATAGTTTGCTATTCATTTTAAGAAACTGGACATGAAGTTCTGAAAATAAAAACTCATCTTTACGGACTTACATTTTTTTAGAGAAGCATAATTATTAAAAGGATTCTGATCAAAGTTATCATCAAGCTCATATTGATTTACCGGATAAGTAGTGAGATTGTCTTACTCAAGTTATCTTTTAATTTTATTGATTCAAATTAATTGACTGAAATGAGATAAAAATTCCATTTATCATGTATTTCATGCATTGTAAACCTTTTCAACAGTTATTATTGACTTTGACAGAAAAGATTTTCATAACTATGTCATATTATTTCTCTTGTGTTGGGTTTCAAAAGATTTCTGCCTTTTCACCTTACATTGTTGGCACATTTTTTATAATTTCTGCTTAAATGAAGTGCAATACCCTCTGCTTTCAGATCTACTGGTTTATGAAGCCATTGTGACCATCACAGTGTTCTGTCTTTTCAAATCAACATGCATTTGACCCACTACTGAAAATGCTTTTTTTGTTTTCTTTGAAATGGCAGTAGCTATTGCTAGACTGATGTAATTGCAGTTCAATTTATACGTTTTACCACATATAGTATTTTTGAAAATAAAGTCCAAGTGTAAAATATGATTTATTTGAAATATACAACATTTTTTGAAGTGTATCATGCCAACATGAACCAACAAATATCTTCTCAGTGATATAGGAGAATTTTACTTCCAAAGAAAAGGAAAAGCATTAATAAGAGGTATTTAAAAGGCGTGTAAATACCGTGATTAGTGACATGGTTTAGTAACCTAGACTTGGCAGTGCTAGGTTAATTATTGGACTGGATGATCTTAGAAGTTTTTTCCAACCTAAATGATTCCGTGATTCTATGATTAATATGGACACAAACACTCCATTATGACTTCACTGTTAACATCATGTTGAGTAAATCTCAAGAAATTAATATACAAATCATCTATCAACACTTTGTGGCAGAATGAGAAAAACACTCAAACTTTCAAATGACCTCACAAAATGTTATCACTGAGAAACAGGCACACATACACACCATCCTCTGAAGAAAAAAAATAAATGCCTGAAATATGAAAGGAAAAAAAAATGAAAAAAAAAAAAAAAAACAAAAAGCAAGAGAAAATAGAACAAAGAAAAAAGGAGTAACCAAAATGATAAAATATTAGCACGTGAAATCGTATTATTAGAACTACCATACTAAAGTCTCAAATGAGATGTATGCCATCCATCAAAAACACCTCAAAAACTCTAAACAAAAGAATAAAAGATGTATGTGAAGTAAAATAAATCTTCAAATGGTAAAGTATATAGTGGAACAAACAGAGAAAGAAAGAGAAAGAGAGAGGGAGGGGAAGAGGGAGAGGGAGAGAAAGAGATAATTAAATATAACCCTGTAATAAAATTGACCAAAAGAGATTTTGAGAAAGTATTTGCTGAAAATTAAAAACTACTAATGAAAACAAACTTAATCTCAGAATCAGGTAGAATGCACTAAAAATGCTTAAAAGTATTTGTTGAGTGGAAAGATTAAAAGAAAATACAGAGGGGGAAAAAAGAAGAATAGCGAATTATTTCAGTGTGTTACATTTGCTGTGGAAGAGTTCTATAAATTTTCCACATTGAATTCTTCCTTTACTGGAAAGGAACCATCATTAAAGACAAGTGCTACTAAAACTGACTAAGTATAAATCACTAGAATAAACTACTCCAATTTCCATAAGCAAGTGGTTATACCCCAGCAGGTTAAAGGATGCCAGATACAAAATTGCTGAAATACTGTCTGACTTCCAGTTTAGTGCTTTAATTGACTATGGGGAACGATGTGTAGAAAATAAAGCGGTTAATAAAAGCTTTTGGAATATGTGAGTATCTGTAAATCAGAATGTCTTATTTTAAATAATTGAGATTGGTGGAAATTGTACTAAAGTATTAAATTATTAGATTAAAGGAAAATGAGGAAGAACCAACATGATTTCTGTTAAAGGAAGTCATACCAGGCAAATCAATTAGAAATCTCTGAAAGATGTCTTTGATAAAGTGTATCTAGATTTCCAAAATCTTTTGAGGTAGTTATAAAAAGTAAAGAAACTAAACCCTCATGGGATAAAAATAAAACCCTGTCAGAGAACTAGAAAATGGATGAAGGACAATGCTGTTTGCAACTGAAAAATATATATATATATTGGATGGTAAAATTAAAGCCTGTGATAGATAAAATTAAGTTCAATATATAAAATGCTTGTGCAAAAAAAATGGCATTGATTACACATAAGAATAAAAGTTTATATATTAGGTGTTCTTAGGAAAGAGAGCTTATATTCTTTATAAATAACTCTGTAGAAGGAGCATCACAGTGTGCAGCCACAATCAAGAGGTAAGTATGCTATAGCTTAATAATAAAATAAGGGAGAAAATAGTTGAAATTCTGTTGCCACTGTGTACCTCCAAGACATAGTTAAATTTTGGATACTGAAGACAACTCAAGAGCTATGATTTCTAACATTATTAAACATCCTTAGAAAAAAAAAAAATAGTTAAAAGCTGACAAAGATACCTGGAGTTGCAAAATGGCTTCTCTACAATGAAAATAGCTCTCTCTAACTTGGAAAAAGATAGCTTCAATGAAAGATAGTGAATAATGTAAAATAATAAGTGTCATAAAATCAAAAGAGGTTGAGAGGACAAGGAAAGATAATTTGTTTTTTCTTACTACATCTTGTTCTTTTCTGAAGCTGCTGCTAGCAGTCACTAGTCAAAGATAAAATTTGAGACTTGTATACATTTAAAAAAATGTATTTGCAGGAAGACCTGTGTTTGTATGTTTCCAACTGTGTTCTCTAATCCAACCTATATTTTTCTTTCCAACACAATAGGAAGCCCTCCTTTTCACCTTATACACTGGAGCCATTTTAAAGGCAATTAAGTCATCACTGTATTTTATCAATAACACAGATATTCTATCAGTAACAGATATCCTCTGACGTTTATTGTGAAGTGCTTGTTCAATTGTAAAGTGCTTGTTCAATATTGTAAAGTGCTTGTTTACTAAGAAGTAGCCTGCGCTACTTCTTAGTAAAGGTCTAGACACCTACCTGCCTTCATACTGATCAATTCTGACTTTTTAGCAGTCACTATTCTGTTTTTCTATAACCATAGGATTCCTCAAACCCTTCAAAAGCAGTTTGATGAAGCTTGAACTTTGACGACATTTATAATTTATCCTGCAAATGTATTTTTTGGTGCAATGTGCCAGACATCAGATTAAAAAACCTGTCAGGCTCTGGAACACTATTTTGCTTGTGGTCAGACAGCCTATGTCTTGTGCTTGACTGCACAATGAAGGTCTTTCACTTGCAAAATAATAAGTAAAAAAGGCAAAGAAATTAGAAGAAATCCACCATAGTGGGTATGTTCTGAAAACAATACTAGTTAACACCTCCATGCATGAGGAATGTAGGTAGTTATGCTGTACAGAATATAGCACCATATCAAAAATAACTCCCACAGCCATTTAGCCCACTGACTTACTGAGGGTCACAGGCCTCCATTATAGGAGTGACATCACAGCTTTTGATACAAGGAAATGAATAACTTCTGTTTTCATAGCATTTTTTTTTAAACTTGCTACCTAGGTTTTTAGTTCAAGCAATCTTTCTTTGCTTCAGAGTTTTACCACTTTCCTGGGTGCCTAAAATCTTGAGTATTTTACGCAGAGCAAAATACTTTCTTACCTTCATAGTTTTAATGAAATTGTGGCATTCTTGGAAATTTCTTTACACTCAAAACATGGTTTCTTTTGCTTAACTGATATTTTCACTTTGCTCAACTACTTATGAAATTGCCAGGCAACTTAATGCTATTTTAACTTTAAAATCTTTATCTATAGTAAGGAATGTATATTTTTTCCTGGATATCTATATTGTTAAAAGTATATTTACAGAATATGTATTAGGTATACACGAACTTCCTCTGATCAAGTGCAGAACTGTGGGATTTTGTTTGTTTTGTTTTTTACTGAGAAATATCATGGAAAAGTTAAAGCAAGAATATATCTGACATGTTAGATCTACATATAAGCTAATTCACCTGCAACTGCCCAGGATATGAAATATAAATCATTATTTCAATGTACAGAAACAATCAGTACAAGTGCAAGTGAGAATGACCTAAATTATCTGAGAGAAAATGCTGAAAATGAGAAGTTGTGGGTTCAGAACTTCATTTCATTGATGTTTGCATCACCTAATAATATTTTAATATAAATGGACCATAAAATGCATGATGTAATCTATAAAACATCTTATGCAGAGCCAAAACAGAAATTTCTCATGATGAATGCCCAGATTAATAGATTAGAAAATCATCTTAATTCTCACACTTATGCTTGTGCTCTGGCCCAATGAAGCTTTCATACTTTGCTGCCTGATGATACATTTGCAGCAATGTGGAGGTTGTGTTGTGTATAATCCCCTAATCATAGTTTGTGCACAAACTGAAATGTTGATGGATGTTGTAAATGTAAAATTTAAAACTGAGGTTACAAAAAGAGTATCATGAATTCACAATATATCATTTATTTCCATTCTTAGGCCACAAAAATTTGTGGATCAAAATACGGCCTTTCCTTCCTTCCTTCCTTCCTTCCTTCCTTCCTTCCTTCCTTCCTTCCTTCCTTCCTTCCTTCCTTCCTTCCTTCCTTCCTTCCTTCCTTCCTTCCTTCCTTCCTTTTTCTTTCTTTCTTTCTTTTTCATGCAGAATTAATAGGTTGCTGTGAAAAGAGAAGAGGACAACAGATATTTTTTTAAACATTACTAGAAAAGCTGATATCTTGTTAATTTAAGATTTAATTTCACAGTATGTAAATAACATAAGCTTTAGGGACCTCCCATTCTGATCATTTACTTTTCAAAGATGCAAGGTGATAAGAATTCTCCCAGGATAATTGAGGGCCTGGCCAAGGTGTAGTAAGAAATGGGCTCAGGAGTAAGGAGTCCTTAAGAAGGAATCATGTATGTATTCTTTGGAGTTTATGTATCCATAAAGTTGAGTTGTCATCTAACAAACATTAATATGAGACCATAGGTACTATTTTATACAAATGATCAACACTCCTTAGCTACTTGTAGAGTTCAAGAAAACTCCAGGTATATGGAGCTAGAAAATAATTCTGTGTCATGAAATCAATTACTTGCCACTGCAGGAAGACATGTCTTGTAAATTTATTGTAGAGGTTTAGATTCCCCCTTAAATACAACCGTATTTTCAAACTATGTATTATTCAGTTATCATCTAAGTATTCTCACTAGAAGGCAGTTCCAGACCTTTAGTCTTCCCTTACTTCAGTATTTTATTTTAGTTTCTGACTGCAAATTATTCTTAACCACTCTAGTTGTACTTTTTTTTTCCTGCCACGTGTGATACTTTAAATGTTCTTCTTTTTTTTTTTTTTCATTGTTTACTGTTTTGCCCTCTGTTGCCTTTGCAGTGAATGGTCATAGTCTGTGTCATTCTGATTTTAACTGTGCTAAACTATGATTTTAATCTAGATTTTTAACTAGGCTCTGAATCCTCCTATCCTTCCCCTTGCAACAGATCCAACATGAAATAATACTTCATTGAACATGGATGATGAAAAGGAAATGCACAGATACAGTAATAAATGTTTTCTCTTTACAAATATAAAATCTTGGTAACATAAATTATACATGTTCAGTATGGGTTATCTTTCTTGAAAGAAAAAAAAAAAGCCTTGATGATGCTAAAATAATTTTCTAATACTTATACTAGGACACATTGAAACTCTTTTCATCCATAAATAGATATAATATTTCCAATACAACATAACCAGGACTTCTTGATGAAATATGGAATATATGTATTCAAGCGAGAGGAGGTTAAATGAAGAATACTGCAAGGAAAAAGAAAACTATGAGCTCCAGCTAACTGTGGTGTGAAGAAGACTTTCCAACACACCATATAAGTGGTAAGGAAATTTGGGTTCCTGGAAGCTAGAGAAAATGTGGCAATGGAAGAAAACTGGAAAGGGGAGGAAATTATAACCTGTATAACTTACTAGGAGGAAAAAGAAGATCATGAGAGAAAGAAAATGATCACATACATAAGACAGGAAACCATAAATGAGACTCAGAAGAAACACAGATAAAGAAAAGGAAGAAAAACACAACAGTAAGCAATAAGAGATCAAAAATAACTTTCAAATTTTAGATTTTCATTTAAACATTGAAAATAAAAGTTTGACCTAAAAAAATATAAAAAACTAACTACCTCTGTTAACAAATAAAACTTCTCCTATAACAGCATGATTTTGATTTGTAGACCCTTAATATATAACCTTAATTCTGATCACTGAAATAAAGTGAGCAGGGCTCAAAAAAAATTCATATTACCTTTGGAAAGTTATGTTATATGCCAGCCATGTTTGGCTGTGTAATTTATTTCCAGTTCCAATTTTACAAGAATTTACACAGAATGTAGTTTATGGCCACTATAGACAGCATCTTTTTAATTAGCCATGATTTGATTGTATGCTATTTAAGAGCAATGTGAGACCATGACAGAAGTAGTCTCTATGGCAAAGTTTATCTTGTACGAAAGACTAAATTCATCTGAACAAAAAGAGAAGTTCTTGCTTATTTTCTAACATCTTTTATAAAAAGAAATTTTGACACTTCAGCCTTATAAGAAATAGATTAAGGTAAATGTTAAAAGGAAGTATGTTCTCAGCAAAGGTTCTGCAGTTAAACTGTCCACCTTAGAAATACTCATGTTAGTTATTCAAAATTCGTGCTTATTGATGCAGTCATGTCTAGACTATTCGTCTCTCCAAGGAGTTTGAAATCACTTAATTCAAATTCCAATATATGCATTCTTTATGCTTCAAGAGTCTGTATTCTAATTTGACTTTGGCAGAACTTCTAACCTATCTGTCATGTATCCTTCATACATCTTCATCAACATATTTTAGTATATCTTCTCATAAATCCTGTATAAAGTAAGTATATATTATGATCCACATTTCCCAGGTGGGGATTTTAAGTACAGGGTTTCAAGTTCTCCTAGGTTAAACTGTAGGAAAACAGAGGGGTTGAATCTTGAACAGCCTGAAATGTCCATCCATCTGAATTGTCTACCCATACAGAAAAGAGTTCAACTGAGTCTCACTGTGGGATGAAGTCAGAACAAATCTGAAGTGCATAAATGGGCTCAAGAAATATGAAGTTCGCCTTCTACATGCCACAATATAATTTGCTTTAAACACCAGGTAAACATTCCAACCATGTGATACAAGCCAGCTTGTATTTTGCCTGCATATTTGCTTTGCGACCAAGAATTTATTTTCTTATTGATCATTTTTCCAAGCAGAAACAAACAACTTACTTGTGTATGTCTCCTGCTATAATGAAGTCCTGGAACATATAGTTGTACATGTAGAGTGTTTTGTTGTTTTGTTTGTCTGTTAGTTTGTTTGTTTTGTTTTGTTTTGTTTTTGGTTTGGTTTTGTTTGGTTTGATTCAGTTTGGTTTGTATTTTTGGTTGGTTGATTGGTTTGGTTTGTGGTTTTTGTTTTTGTTTTGTTTTTTGAGGGGAAAGGAGAAGTTTTTCATTGTCAGAAGAGATGAAAAAAGAGAAATGACTGAAGTTTTGATTATATTATGTGTCATTCCATTGTGGCCTTGATAGTCCAACTTTAAAAAAAGGGTAAATGATTTAACTATTAATGATTATCAGAGTCTTGTCCACTGCATTTACACATGGGAAACAACGTATAGATGAGTTTAAAACATATAAGACTTACTTTTGTGGCCATATCCACTTAACAGAATCATCTCTGCAACACATAAAAACAAGCATATTTATTTTTGCACAGTGACACTTTCAGGATTCAAATTCATTAAAAACAGGTTGTGTCAAACAAATCTAGGTTTCAGAATTTAACATTGTGCTCTATGTCTTCACTTGCATTCTATACACATATGTCCAAGATATAATAGAACCATGGTAAAAGCATAACATTAAGTAAAGTGCTCTGCATATATTGCAAAATTTAGCACAGCTTAATTTAACATATTTACAGCCATATTTATACATTTTTATAATATATTTATTCTCATACATTCCAATCCACTGTACGCTTATTTTGCTCTGTAGTTTTCCTTACCATACTAAACACACATATCTCAACATCCTAAGCTATTTCTTAAATAACAGGTTTTTTTTTTCAACTAAAATTTCAGACTTCTAAATGGATCAATTCAATGCAAAAGCCCTGTAATACATCTGCAAGCAATTTAACTCTCAGATGACAGCACTGGAAAGTTCATTTTTATAACATACTGCTAACCACATTAAGCCTACTATAGTCCACTTGCTTAGTTTCTTCTAAGCAGCCATAATCCAATACAAGCTCTATTGGTTTGGATGTTGTATGGAGAAGCTTTTTAGTTTAAGAATAAGTCATCCATTATCATAAATATTCTGATACTGTATGATAATTTGACAGTTCTAGACAACTTAGTACTATTTTATTTTATTTTATTTTATTTTATTTTATTTTATTTTATTTTATTTTATTTTATTTTATTTTATTTTATTTTATTTATTTTATTTATTTTATTTTATTTTATTTTATTTTATTTTATTTTATTTTATTTTATTTTATTCTGTCTATGAAGTTCTCCATTGTGTCCATAATATTTACTGTTGTGCCATTTTTATGCTGGTTAACACTCTTCCCCTGACTAATTCTAATTTTACAATTAATTATACTTTACAGTTAAATTAATGAACATATACTGGAATTAAAAAGGACATTGCCAAATAGTATCTATTTATTGTGGTTTGTTTTTGTTTGTCTCTTTGTTTTGGTTGATTGGTTCTAGGAGGGAAGGGAAAGATTCAAGTAAGTCAAGCAAGTAAGATCCATTGAAAACCTTGTGTTCATTTTCTTTATAAATTATGACTCTAATTCAGTTTCCTAATGTCAACTAAACCTGTCTCCTAGATACCTGTCTCCTTCTCTAGACAACAAATAAAATTGTGTTATGCAAGCTTATTCCAGGAGAATCTTGCCAAGTATTTTTATGCAAGGTTCTGTGCATTATATGAAAAACAAAAATTTTCAGCTGCATAAATACATTGAATACAATATGTGGGAAAAAATGAATAAAAAGAGCAAAAGAAATGGCCTGTGATTTTCAGAAGCATTTAACACTTGTTATTTACAGTGAAATCAACAATCAATCCCATTTTCTTCAAAATTGCACAAAGAAAGATAGTGAATATGACTAAAAAAAAAAAAAAAAAGGAAAATTTACCTACAGTAGCTGCATAATAGATGTTATTTCAAAAGTTGTCTATAATTACAAAACATATTTCTTGAACTATTTCTAAAAACATTGTGTTGATAAGGAATATATGTTATAGTGTAAGCCATTCACAAAAGAAATGATAACATGGATAGTCTCATAAGAAAGTCAAGCACATTTACAATTTCAGACATCACATTGTTTGGTAGTTTTGTTCTTGCTTCATTGCTGGGATTTCTACTAAACTAGGTGCCCAAATCATGCTTCATTGCATTGGCACCCTTTTAAATCAAATCTCAGGAGAGTATGTATCTGTGTGAATGTATTTAGATGAGCTGAACCATCCAGTGAGATGTGCTTGGTTTTCTCTTCTGCTACCATACAAGGTCCTGAAATAACTAATTTTCATTCATTGGTTACAGCAATTTAGCACATCTTATGTTTCTATGTAATCTTACTTTGTGTACCTAAATGCTTCTGAAGTTTAATCATATGGACACATTTTTTTTGTTTACTGTAATAAATCACTTCCCTAGCCCCAAAATCTAGCCAGGTATCTAAATCAGTCTCTAATCTTAGGAAGCCAGGAGCTGCAGATACAATTTACTGAATTTTGTTTTCCTTGTAGGTTAGCAGATATATTTTACTTCTTTTGCATCTCATATGGCAGCTCAAAATTATCCACTCTGAAAATCACAACATTGTTTGACTTCAGAGCATGGAAAATGTTTTTGTTTATACATAGTTGACTTTTGCAGTTATGTTCTAAATGGAACTCCTGTCACAGTTATTTTAAATAAATGTTTGTATGGCCAGTTCCTTCTAAGTATTTAGCAACTTCTAGAGATTCATCTCTCCCAACTTGAACATTTGTCTTACAAAATGTAGGTATCTACTGTGTGAATAGCTGCATCTGAACTAAGCATCTTAGGATCCTTTTGCAGTCAGTGGAGAGAAACATGCTTTTAGAGTATGATTTATTTCACCTTTAGAATGAGATGTATCATGTCTGAGAAATACTTAAAGTAAATATCTGGATATTTATTCATTCAGCCTGTTATTAAAAGTCTTATTTCTCTTTTTCCTTTCTTATAGGATAATTGATCATTTTCAATTTGTCAATATCCTGGAAAATACACAGATGTGAAAGAAGAAAAAAAATGCCTCCCCCATACTTTCATCTACTGTTTCCACTGTGTCTACGTATGCTGTGTTTCCACTGTCTGTATGCTCTACAGAAATGCACCCAGAAACACCTTAGCCAAGAATAACCTAAGTCTTCATTAGGCAGTAGCAACTACTGTAGATTTTTTTCTAAATACCTCTGCAGAATAAAGGAGATTTACTCATGACTTGCTTATAGAACAAATTTCTGACTGAAGATTTTTGTTTTGTTTTGTTTTGTTTTTCTGAATAAAATCAAGTTTTTAGGGTAAAAGGACTGTCTTCAAGTTAGCATCTTCCATACTTATACACATCATACCAGTATTAATTATATTAATTGTACTCTCATATTTATGTTCATTATATGTGACACTCACCTGAAAGTCACGGTTTCAGTCTTAAGCAACTAAAGTAATACATTCAGCCTTTCTTATGCAGGTGGTTTACAAATGCTAGGTGATTTACAGTACCAGCTACTGGCACTGAGTGCGTATGTATAAGGAATCATGAATTCGTGTGAGTTACCTATACATAAGCACCTAATGTTATCTAGGATTTTTTAGGGCTTCCCATTTGAACTTCAGTTGCCACTTCAAAATTTCAGCTGTGTCATATCTGCTAGCATTGTGTGGATGTTCCTATACGGGAATAACAAAACTACATGCTCATCTACTTAATTTAAATATCTTATTATCTGAACAAGATCTCCGTATGGGAGCCTTCAAAAGCTCTCCACTGATTTTTGTAGGGGACAGCTTCTATATTAGAAATACTTCAATAAGGGTAGTAGGGACTTTAAATACAAGCCATCCAAAAAGATTGAATATGATCCTGGTTTATAGACACAATTCTAAAGAGTACTAGACTACTAGACTTCTACAGAAACAGATTGTTTTGTTTTGAAGCATCATGTAATGATCAAGGAAAAACCTGGGAAAATATGGAGTGACAGAAGTAGAAGTTGTTTATAGCTAGTTGAAAAGCTTTAACTGCTTTTCAAATCCTTTAAGTGTTTGAAAACGATTTGGCAGCTCCATAGCCCCCCAAGGGGAAGCTGTGAATAGCCAGTGTTTACAAGCTACATTTTTTCCAACCACTGTATTTCTTACCTTTGCTAGTAATTTTTATTATGGTTCAGTTTCCAGGAGTTGCAGTCCAGCACATATGGAAATAAAGGTTTTGCTGATTTAAGGATTTTGAGCAGTCTCTCTGCCCCTAACTGCCACTAATCCCCACGAACTATGAAGCAGAAATATAATGAGGGAATTTGCAATGAAATGTAAGGTTATGTCAATATGAGAAGCTTTATACTGGATTTACAATAAGGCTGAAGAATAATTATTCTGCTGGATATTTTATGCATTCTGATTTAAGTTAGAACAGATATATTGCATGGATATCTATTTTTAAACATAAATATTTTTGAAGTTACTGTTAAATATTGGGATTATCTTCTGGGTTGTCACTGAGTCCATATTACTTAGTATATGTATATCTACTTGGTACAGTAGATATCCAAAAATTTAATATTCTTAGAATTTAAAGTATATAACTAGTTGCTGAGCTCTAAGATATAGTTGAGTTGTTGTTTTCAATAGTGAGATTTTAAATATTACTTTGGGATAAATAACATTTTTTCTTATCTTATGGTGAATGTACAAATGCAAGTCCCTATTTTATAAAAAGAAATATAAGAAATGACTGCTTTCAAATAGTATTTTAATTTATGAGCCATTAGAGTGGTTGCAAAGTTATTTACCTAAAGTCAAATTGCTTCTGTTGGAAATAACATTACATTTCCAGGGAATGTCTTCTTGCAAGTAGCAAAAAAATCTATTTCCCCAATACTCTTTTCACATTTCTTAGATACTGATATTCTACTGCATTATCCTTCTCACAGTATTTTATATTCTGATGTTTTGATAAATATCACCCTTATAACACTGGATGCTATATGTGGTAGAAAATTTGAATCAAACTTCTTGCAAGGTTGGAAAACTGCTCTGTGAGCAGTCCATGTTCTTGATTTCTGATTTTTGCATGCCATAAAAAAGTTTCAAAGGTGAGTTGTAAATAGTGCATTTGATATTTTATTAACTCAACTGGAGATGCACTTTGGATTGGAAGAAATCTGGAGACAATGAGACACATTCATAAACATGAACACCTGTAAGAAATGCGGATGCTAGCACTGGGAGCATGAATTATGCATGAATAAAAATGCAGCATTTTAAAGTTTTGAAGTTGGAGTCATTTCTCAATATTTGGAAGCTCTCTAATAAAAGTGTTTACATTTTTATAAAACTCACATTTGCATTTAAATATATAGATTTTTAGAACACTGAAGATATATCGAAGAAGTTTTACTTTGGAAAAGAAAAATAAGCTGTTCTTTGTAATGTCATGTACATCCACTTCTTTGCATATAGAGTGGTGAAGAATTGATTACCCGTATGCTGTACTGTTATACTTGCTGCTTTCATCAGAAACAATTCTGTGGGAAAATGCTCTTAATAGTAGAAAGCCTCTGTAGCATAAAATAAATGAGGGGTGGGGAAGGGATAAGAGTAAGAAAGTAGGAACAGTTATTTATTGTACATACGGCCAAAGTGCAGGTGGATTTTGAACACACAAACACACACACACACAAATAAATAAAAATAATTAAAAATTAAACAACAACAACAAAAACATCCTCTTACAAGATGTGAATTTGATATAGGTAAATAGTTCAGGTATCATGAAATCCCATATATGCAGAGTCAAATGTCTAAATTTCTTACTATATTACAGAATTACTCATGTAATGTTAATACTGCCATTTGATAATAGTTACAAGAGCTTTTTTTTAAGCCTTTACAGAAATGTCTTCTCTATTTATTCACAATGAAATACTTCATGCAAAATCTCAGATAACAGAGTATATTTTATTATGCTCAGTCCATTGTGAACACCCTAATAGGTGTGAAATCTGTTATGGATAACCTGTACTTCATGGTAATCAGAGTGCACAGTGCCTCTACTTCATGGACATCAAGTTCTGAGCCATTAAATTTGAGTAAGTTCAAACTCATTTGTGAGTTATTTTTACTGAAGACATTTGGACTTGTCTATATATACATATCTGTTTGGACCTTCTAAATATATAGAACAATCTAAATAATGAATATAGCAGTTTCTAGATGCATTTTAACATGAACACTGCTATAAGTAATGACCATTTAATGTCAGTTCTCTGTAGAATAGAATGATGCTCAAGAAAATAACTTTTTTGGACTCTGTCATAATGGTTCCCTTATGTCAATTAATGCTAGCTTATCAAAGTAACATTATGAGATGGGTAACATCCTTAAAACCTCCTTGAAGTGCTTTAATTATTTGACAGACTTCATATATGTTTATATGTCTATCTTGAATGAAAAACACTGTTGTTGTTTTATTTGTTAGGTTTACTTTTGCTTTTAAATTATATTAGTCTTTTGATCATAAGAACATAGAAACAGATATGAATCACATATTTATGATTAAAAGTAAGTTCAAAATATTGCTCCCTGCATACATTTTTATTGCCTTGCTTGTCACTTTGATTCCAATGCGCAAATCTGCAAGAAAATTGAACCTCAAATACCCCGTAATGAGAGGTCCTCAAAGTAATGACTGCTAAATTATTTAATTATTTTTTTTCTTTTTCTTTCTGTTTTTACATCTAGCATCCACCACTGTCAAAAATAAAAACTTAAATGAAAGGTCCAAAACTGCAAGGTCATATAGTTCTATAAGCAATAGAGGATCACAATATTAGTTTTTCTTCTGCAAAATATTTCTTTAGCATTGCTATATTGATAACAAACAAACAAACAAAAAAATAGTGTTCTCGAAGTCATGAAAATAGACTTACTTATTTTGCTTGATGATTTGCTAGGAAACATTTAGATAATTATATTCTAGGCTTTCTAGAAAAATTATATTATTGGAATTCAACTATCTATAATTTTGAGACTAAGTAAATCAGGAAGACTAATTGATAACAGGGATAACATTATTGTATTTTTCCTTGATTTTGTTTAGCTTAACAGTCAATCAAAACCATGCAAAAATAAAATTTCTTCTATGATTTAAATAATATATTAATTAACATTAATGACATGACCACAGCTTATTCCCTCTTTTGTGAAACCCACATATATGTGTATATATATAAAGAGAGAGATGTATATATATATAGGTATTGTTTCTGCAAACATTTCAAAGCTTACAGTATCATCTTTTGTAGCTGTCTTTTAAATACAAATCCTCTGACATACCTTCTCTCAATATTGTTTTCTATCTCTTCATATAAAAACAGACTCAACCAAAGCTAGAAAGTATTTCAGGTCTTTGACCTCCCTTCTGTCTCAAAACCAGTAGTAGTAAGGAGGAAAATAATAAATATCTAATAAATAATTAAAAAATAAATAAATAAAGGAAAAGGATTTTTAGACACGAAGAACAAAGAAATATAAGACTTCTCAGCAGCCACTCAGGACCTTATTTTAACGTATGTTTGATTAATATAAAGATGTTCATATTTGAGATTGGGCAGTATGAACAGTATGAAAAAAATGGATATAATCCCTGTGTATAAAAACAAGCTAATGCAAAATGAAGACAGCATGATAAAGCTAGCTGACTTTCTAGAAATTAAAGCATGCTACAATGAATAAAATTGAAAAGCAAGAGAAAATAATAACATTTTAGAATATACTTAGAACATTAAACCATAAAATTTCCAAGAAGCATTTTGAAGCATTTTGAGGAATTTAATTATTGATTTCACTGCAATTAATTTCTGTTGGAGATCTGATTTTGTTGTATTTTTCACACTGAAATTAAAGGGTTCATCTGAGAGCAAAGTACCAAGCTAGATGAGACAATCCAGCATTTGAAAAGACATTACATATGCTTTTCCTGCATATGTAATACCATTTAGCAAAAGACAGTGTATCACAACTGATTTTAATGTGTACATAAAAAAGGTATCTTGTTGGTCACATAATCCAAGATTAAGGTTTTATACTGTTCTGATTTAAGTCACAAGGGGACTCCCTTGGGAGTCACAGGTAAAAATATTGTTGTTTTAATAAGAGCAGAGTAAGCACAATGGCAAGAAAAAATTATCAAACAAACAAACAAAAAAGAACAAACAAACAAACACCAAACAAACAACAACAAAAACCACTTCTCCCTAAATTCTCTTTAGGAGAAAGTCGACTACATAAGGGCCTATAAAAAGGACCTGAAAGTCAAATTTTGATCTTATTCTATCTAGATTTAAATAATAAATTATTAATTTTATCATTTCAGCATTATTTCAGATAATAGAAGTGGACTAATCTAAAAAACTTCACATGAGAATAATGTTACATTTCAGAAAAAGAATAAAGGAAAATTGAAAATGGGCATATGAATATTGGGAGAAAAAACTGTAAACAGAATAAAAATGATCAAAGAAGAGAAAAAATATCTATCATAGATTGCAACTATTAGAATTCTTTTTTGAAGGTCAGTATATGTGTAGAGAAAGCATATTCGTATTGTGTATGAATATAATGTAATCAAAAGAAAGTTGTGGGAATAGGATTAAAATTAAATTTTTAAGTTAATTAGGTATCTGTGTAGGAGAACGGCATACTAATGTCTACATTTAATTGCAATTATAATTCTAGAAGCTTCATGGTTTGGTCTCAGAAGGTTATGTTTATGAGAAGCAAAATTTGTAAAGAGGCAACGTTATTAAACAAGGTGTTACAATGGGGAGAAAATTGACATGTTTGTCTGAAGAACACTAAATTTGTAATTCAAAAGCCAACAGGTTGTGGAAAAACAACATTAAAGAATTTACATCTGATTTCTAATTAGTACAGAGAACTATATTAAAAGATTTAAATTGGATTACTTAGGCTTCAGAACTGATGTTCAGTTTGTGTCAGGAAACAAAGATCTCTACGCAAGTTAATGCTGTTAAAAGGACAGATATATCTTCAAATCAAATGTCCAAAGTAGGAGTCTGTATATATTTTTCCATCTCAACTGGCTTCAAAGTTTTCCACTAGGAAAAATTGTAACAGCAGTTCGTTCCCAAAATTGATAGACAGAGGACAATGAGATTTGCACATTTTGACTACGAAATGTTTTCTAATGTATGAGCAAGGCTTTAAAGAAGAGGAGTACTTGGTAGTCCTATTCCCAGATTTTGTGCCTCCCAGAATAGCATAATTTCATTTAAACTGATTCAGCTGAGCAGATAGAAAATGCCAATGTTAAACCTACTGTCAAGGCAAAAGCTCAAAGAATCATTGCTGCCAGAAATGATCAACCATAAAGGGAAGCACAGATGACATTAGTATATTTACTCTATGAAGTTTATTAGATTGGATGGTATAATTTTGCCTTATTCCATTTGCATATATTCTCAATTCCCTATTTGTAGTTATTCTCAGTGGAAAGTGAAAAGTGATAAATTAGCCACTTTCATCAGGCAGCATTGTGTATGAGTGTCAGAAAGAAATAAAATGTTGTATTTTTTTATCTCTTTTGAAATGTGATGAGGACCTGTCATTTTAAACTAGAAGAGGCTGTATAGTCTTCTGGTCATGCCTGACATGTTACATGAGGCAATGTAGGAACAGTAGCAGTTTTCCATTCCTTCATGAGTTTCTAACATGCAGAAGATGCATTAAACAATAAGATTAGAGCCCACATGCTTAAAATGAATATAAAAGTAATTAAAAGTTAGGAAACTGCCCTTTTGACCCCCACTTTTTCAATAAAGCTCTGTGACAGCCGAAGACTTGATTTGTGTGTAATCAGATTAAACACTCTGGCTTCCCGTTCAGTAGACTCACTTATAAGAGGTACAATCTGAACTTAAAAAAAAAAAAAAGTCATCTTGGAGTATTTTTCTTTTTTTCTTTTTTCTTCCTACTGTAGAGCAACAGCTTAATCATTATGAACGAATGTTGAATATCTAGTTTTTTTATCTTTAGTAAGAACTAATTTTTACATAACGGTGTAGATGAGAAGGCCATAACCCACTTGAAGAAAAGACATGAAATATTATATTATCTACTTTTCTCTTTCAAAAACACAGTTTAAAAGTGATTAGATGTACTTTGATGTTTCTGCTGTTAAAACTGTTTCAGCCATGAAAACTGTCCATGTATTTCCTCCTGCTTCTTGTCTAGAGCTGTCCCTTGATGGTATTGATTATCCAGTTCTCCAAGACACATTTGTGAGAACAGTACAGAACTTACTACTGCACGCTTGTGTATTTACACCTACGACAGTCTGATTTTTTTTTCTTCTTCTCAGAATATAAATAGTATTTGTGATTTTATAGGGCATAAATCCTTAATCTTCCTCACTTTCAAACTTCTTCATGTCTGTGATCAACAGAGCTTTCAATGTGTAAATCCTTGTTCTCATGACGTTATCATTCTTGTTGTCTGATAGAAAAATAATCATTTCACAGTTAGTAAAATCCTAAGCAGTGCTCACAAAGTCATGGTTGCTTGATGACTACAACACAGGCACCAGCTCTTCCAATATTTAGGGAAGCCATCTGCAGAAAATAAATAAATGAACAAATAAATAGAATTAACTGAATAGGGATGTCATGCAAGAGTTAACATTAGTCTAAAATGTTTCAAACTAATGGGATTAAATACAACCCACAATACCCTAGTGCTGTACCTTTAAAATTACTTAATCATATGTTACATCTTTTATTTGAAAATGTAAGAAGAGGAAAACAAATAAATAAATAAAGGAAGTGATTTTAGAGCATTCATTAACTTTCTGAACTTGTTGATATGCCAGGGGTTTCCAAGTTCTGTAGACTGTGGTTGACATCTCCATTTTAGTCCCGGAGTCAAGGCCAAAGCTAACAATAACAAAACTGTATGGTTCCAGTATTACTAAGCAGAGTCAAGTTTCCTTTAAAATAAGTTTGTCAGCTTCAGACACTATTTCAAGACATCAGAAGTAGCTCATAGTTGTAGGAGGCTGGACCTCTTCACTTGTTGAAGCTAACACAGTAGAGGCAGCATCTATGCTATTTAATAATAGTACCCTGTAAGTATTACTACTCTAAAGCAGAGGTGTTACATGTTGCTTAAGTATCTGTTCAAGTGTCCAACTTAAGTTTTTACGTGGAATGGAGGTATTTGGAAAATGATTTTTTCAAACGTTATCCTAAACAATATCATAAAAAATGCTCTTTTGCCATACAAATAACAATAGATAAAAAGGTGATGGGCTTTTGCATTTATTTTTACAGCTTTCATATCTAAATTTAAGCTTAGAACAGAAGAATCCCTTTGCAGTCATAAAAAGAAGCAGGCATTTGGGAGATATCTGGCCTGTTTAAAATACTTATTTTAGGATGATATATTTTCAAAGTATGTAATTTTCTTCACTACCTTTAAAAGGAACTTTGGGTCACTAACTCATATGAAAGCATCCACACTGGTGAAATGAATTACGTTTCCAGAAAGTCTTAAAACAGAATTAATAGAAGAAAGCACTGAAATCATCCTTTGTTTCTTCTGAAGGATTTGCTATGACTCTAAATCTTTTCAAGTACTATTGTGAGATAACTGTTGGTATAAGGTGATGGTTGGACCAGATGATCTGAAGAGGTCTCTTCCAACCTTAATGATTCTACGATTCTACAATTGTATGATTCTATGATAATTAAGTACATACATTTCCTCTATAATCAAATCACCAATCCCCACCTTCTTGCACTATAACAATACTTCTATTCTTTTACAGTTCACCATTAGGTGCTTCCATATAGCTTATTTCAAAATATCCATCGAAAATAAGGAAATGGAATTAAAGAATGAAATGAAAACTTGGCTCCATACTTAAAATAAACAAACTGTTTCATATGAAAAATCTTCAGAATATGCTGGTTACCAGTTAAAACTCTGTGTTGACAATTTTTAGAACATTTCTTCTATATGAAGAACTACACAGAGATAATTTGAACAGAAATTGATGAGAACAAGATTTTTGTCTGGAAGATAAAAGATGATATTTCTAACAACTGTTTATTCTGTCTTCTACTAGTTTCTTAATTCTATGTTTGTTTGTTTTTTTGTTGTTGTTGTTGTTGTTTTTGTTTGTTTGTTTGTTTTTGTTTTCTATCTGCATTAGGAAACTCAAATTAAACCAAATGATCAAATACTAGGACTAATTTTACAGCCATGGCAATCTCAGATACCATTTCTTTGTTGTTGTTTTCATAAAAGCAATGTTTCTCTCAACAAATGAAAATGTGTTACAGAATTGAAAATACAGACTTTACAATTACCTGCATCCATTCATTAGTTTGAGGGTCATAGGCTTCCATAGTGTTCAGGTATGTTTGACCATCATATCCACCTACTGCATATAATTTGTCACCAAGTAGACAGACACCAACAGCATCTCGAGGCATACTCAGTGGAGCCACCATTGTCCATGTATCTGTTTTTGGATCATATCTAATGAAAGAGAAAAGAAGTTGAATGGTTAGTATCCACTCATGCTGATCTTTGCATGAAATAAAGCCCTTTTCTGAATAAATAAATTATAAATACATAATCCATGACATCCAATCCAAAATAGCAGAAAGAAAATCAGAAAGAAAAGATGAAGATATATTTTGTTCCCAATTCAAGTAATTTAACATTGATTATAAACTGTGATTTAGTTAACCATCCTGGAAAAACAAGCAAACAAACAAACAAACAAACAAACACAATTAAGCTTTTTATGGCTTAAGGTGTCATAAAATAGATGACAAGCATATAAGAAAATTATCTAAATGTATGCATATATTTATGTATATATTTCAAATAAGAATATTTTTGTAGTACATTAAAATATTCCTGATAAAATTATATTTTACTATATTTTATTTTCTAAAATGTTACTATGCCATCTGTTCATAGCCAGAAAACCTCCCCAGAAATTCAGGGGATATTTTAAAGTGCATTATAGTTAGATTTTCCTCCCAGTTCAAGTGAACAAAGTAGTACAGTTTTCGAGACATTAATCATCATAGAATTTTTAAAACTGAGGGCAGAATTCCTCTTACATAATGATAGCTATTCAAAAATTAAATAGTTAGCCTAGGCTGTTAGATAATGGCCTTAATTTAGATGTTCATTAGCAATGTAAAATTAGTTAATTCCAGAGGCCATATCATTGTATATATTTTAAACATCTACTGTAAAACAGAAATGAATCACTAAGGATTGGTGTATCTGGAGTATTAAGTTAAATTAGATACCTCATTTTAAGATGCCTGATATTACCAAAATGCCAAATTATATCACAGTATGATGTGATATAAGCAGCTATACTATGTAGTAGAATCACTTTTCAGTGGCAAAAATAAACAGTTTAAGGATAAAATGTCTTTAACACACTTGAGTCATTTTCTTAGGCATAAAGTAGTTGACACTTTGGATATGACAATTTAAAATAATTATAAAAGAATTCTGTAATGGCTAAGTATCTTATTTACAAGTGTTCAGACTACTGAACTACTGACTAATGAAACTATGTACCAAATTTTTTTCTTGTAGTACTTTAAGAGGCAGTATTAGGTATAAGTTCATGTTTTGGGGGTGCCCAGTTCTTTCAGTATATTTTCTTGTAGACTATACTTTCTTAATCAGAAGTGATTAATCCCTAACTTTTATATATAGATGCTCTACCAAATGAAAAAAAAAAAAAAAAAAAAAAAAAAAGATTTTACTTTACAAGGTTGAATTTAGCAGCATCTGTAACTATTTCAGTCATTCATATTTTTATAAGCAACCTGTATGAATACTGTTAGAGATCTTGTTAGAGATTTGGAAATTTATGAACATTTGGAAATTTATGAACATTTTTTGACATAAATATTGCAGCAGTGATGTTTAGTGCTTTTCTTGTGACTTCATTTGCTTCATAAGCATAACCTTCCAATAGGACAAGAATTAATTGCCTTTACTTTAATCTCATTAAACTGTTCTTTATAGTTAAAAACATGTTAGGGAAAAGACTTAGCTCAGCTATTGGCTGTTAATCTTTCTGGCTTTATTGGATCTTCTCAGAAAATAAGATGGTAAAATGTTGTGGTCAACTTCTTACGTCTAAAATATCATTAAATTAATGGCGTTTTTCACTTTGCTTCTTTTTATTCCTTTTCTTTGTGTTATTTATTCATATTCTTTCATTTTGATATCTTTCTCTAAGAAGTTTTGACTTAAATATGAGATAAATGTCTTTTAAAACTTGAGAGGAAAATACTTTAAAACAATGTTTGAATACGTGTATATGTAACAGGATTCATACATAACAGATGTCTATATGTAACAAGACAAAATACTGTTAATTTTGAATGGATTTTTTTTCAGACTGTGTGACTTTTTCAGCAAAATCATTGTATGCCTCTAGCTGAAAGAGTTTCTCAACCTTCTTTTCCAGTGTGTATTGTATCTGCACCTCCCTAAAGGCAATAAATTTAAATGTACTATTTGATACACAGCTTTTAAATTATGAGGGCCAAGGTGAGGAACTGTAAAAGCAAGATATCTAAATATAATTGACATTTTTGTCCAATTTGTTTTCCTTTTTAATAAACAAGTAACCAAGAGCTAAATATAAAACTTAATTCTATTAACAAGATAGAATTTCAAAAGAATGTGATTTTTTTAATTTACAGGAAAATGTCTGAATTTTTTTATATACTCTTCTGTTAAAAACAACTGTACATTTCATCTGTATAATAACTAGGTATGTCCTATGGTGCAAAGGTTTACAATAAAGTTCCTGAATATGGAAAAAATATATAATTTGAAATCAAAGTGGGAAGGGGAAAAGCTATAGATCACTTTAACTTTTCAATAGCTGTTACATTTAGAGCAAGTAACATTATTTTCTCAGTATTGCTTTACTGCCAAAATATCTCCAAAATTGTATAAATCTTAAATAGAGATTATTGATTATACCTTTAAAAAATAACACAACGTTTACTTTCCCAACATGTGAAACACAGTAAAACATACCTATTGTTTTACTTTTAAGTACTCAAAGCCACAGGAAATCCTCAGAACTGCGTAAACTTAAGTGTTCAAATTGGGAATCTAAATTACTGTTGAACAAGATTTAACAGTAGTATTCAGAAAACACATATCTTCTCTCACTAAGTAATCCCAAAGTAATCTCAAAAATATATTAAAAATACATTTATTATGTCTGTTTAACAGTCTTTCAGAAAAGAAAAAAAAATAAAAAATTGAATAATGCACATCCTGGCAAACTGTCTCATGAAAAGTCTTGTTCCTGAAGAAGAGACATAGTTAAAAAGATTGATGCCCTAAATATTTACAGCAAGTAGAACTTTCAGGGATATATGAAATAATATAGTAGATCTCATTAACAATTGGTCTTTGGTTTGTTAAGGAGTTTTTATTTTTGGAAGATGATGATTTTTGAATGTAAAAATAGACATACCAAATTACATCCATGCCACCTTATATGTCTGTCAGTCATTGGGAGGGTCATAAGACGTTGTTCATGTTATAGTGCGGTACTTCACTTAATTCACTCTAATAGGTACTCTATGCAAACTAATAGCCTTACAAATTCTGATCTGTGAGTCCTAACTTTTACTCTGGAAGCTAACAGCCCATGAAGTAGATTACCCATATTTTTTGCTATCAGTGCAATAAAAACTCAGCAAAGGACACTGTATAATGTCATTCAGATATCAGAATATAAAATAGCTAAGCACATGTATTTAATTGGTTGCTATCATGATCTCTGAGGAAGACAAATGTAATGGGATGGGTTTTATCTTCAACATCAGAAGGATTTTCTTCTCAGAGACACAAAAAATCAATTAATTAAATAAATAGATAAATAGATAGATGATAGGTAGATAGATTGATAGATAACTTTCCTTGTAAGTACCAACAATCAGAAAGAGCTGGAAAGATTTCATATTTATAAGTATTGTCACTAGCAGTCATTAGGAGTTAGACTTGATGATCCTTGTGGGTCCCTTCCAACTCAGGATCCTCTATGGTTCTATGATTCTAAAATTAATATAAATTTGCTCTATTAAAATTCTGGGTATTTTTCCTTACAAAAGTGTCTGTCAGTGCCAATGCCTATCTTGACTTCTGTGTTTAGATCAACCAAGTACTCAAATATATACGCTTTAAACTTTGCAACCTGCATGTATTTGAAAGTATTTTTCATTACTCTAATTTAAAGCATACAAAAGCTGAAATAGAAAAAAGTGATCCCATGAAACATTTGAGGAGTACCTTCAAAATTAATGTTATAGGCATGCCAACAGTGCCCTACTGCCCTAACAGATATTCTTGAATTTGTGGAATATCCACTTGTGAACTTCAGGGTACTGTAAATACAGCATGTAAGGCTTGTATCAACATTTAAGGGACGTAGTACTAGTGTTAAAAGTAACACTGTCATGTACTGTAAAAATCCATCACTTCAGCATTTCAATTTTTATTGAAATAAAATAAAATAAAATGTTATTGCTACATTAAAGTTACAAAAATCCATGTTGGAAAATTATTTCAGGCCTGAAATTTTATTTCTGTAAAGTTTAGTTTATGATTCTGCAATGTGTAATATTTTGCCATAGAAACAAAGATTTCTTAAAGGAGACATGAAAAGAGTGAAATTGTGTGTCCAATGTAATATCTAATAGTACTGTTAAAAAAAAATAAAAAAATCATCTACAAAGCGATTATCTTCTACAGACCTCTGTGAAATTTTTCCAGTAAAGAGGAAGTTAGCATTTGCTGGGGGAAAACAAATAAACAAATGAACAAAAACAAAAGCAACAGCAAAACAAACCAAAAAAAATACCACATCTGCTGAATTTTACCATCATTTAAGAAAATGATGCTTCCAGGCATTATCTTCATAAAATTCATATAGTGGATACCTTTCTACATAGTCCAGCAGTCGGGAGCAGTGGTTAGAAGCAGGAGCATCATGACCTCCAACTGCATAAAGAAATCCATCACATGTAGCCACTCCTACACCTCCTCTTCTCTTACACATTGGAGCACACATATTCCATTTATTTGTGTGAGGGTCATAGTATTCCATTGAACTCAAACATGAACTTCCATCCCGACCTCCAACTGAATATAACCTAAGAAAATCCACACAACGAAGTGTTAATAAAACAACATCTCAGAACTGTAGTAATAAAGACAAGGAGTATATTTTTGTTTGGTCGTTTGGTTTGGTTTGGTTTGGTTTGGTTTGGTTTCATTTTGTTTTGTTTTAATCTGACTTTAGCAAATGGGAGAAAAACAAAATATAGTTTCTCAAAAATATATGAATTTCATATGATAAGCATACAGAGGATTTTGATATTTTTTACCGAATCCACATTCTACCTCGTGAAAGTACTTTCCTACTTTGCCCAGTTCAATGGCAATGAATATATTATCTCTCTGGAAATGGGTATCTTCATTCTTTCGTTGCAGTAGATAATGCCAAAAGTGCCAGTGACACACAGATTTATCTCAATATATTTATAAATCATGTAAACACGGTTGCTACTTAACTGCTTATCATCTGTGAGGTGGAAGTGCAAGTGCTAACTTTTAATTGGTAATCTAGACAAACAAGAAAGTTGTAATCCATTTATGATTGTTTCTCTGTGTTTTCATCATGCATCAAAGTTGTGGGAGTCTGACAACTGCTGTCTGCATTTTAATATTTTATCTTGCATAATTCTTTAATATCAAATGGAATCAAAAGCTTTTAGTTCTACATTCCTAAAAAAAAAAAAAAAAAAAAAAAAAAAAAGTCACACTGAAGCTTTCTATGCTAAATTACAAGCCAGAAGAAAATAATGTATTCAGTCTTTGATCTAGTATTCATCCTGTTCCACAGAACTACTCTCAATGGGAGTCTCATGTCTGGAATGAATTTTACACTTGTAATATAGGAAAGATCAAATAGGTAGTGCAGAAAAGAAAAGAATATCTCATTATGTTTTAAATATGGATTTTTAAAAAGTACTAACTTGTCTTCATGTTTTCAAAGATCTTGGATAAAATGATAAGTCTTGCCTACGCTACCGTTAGCATGGCTACTCAGCAAGTAAGGTAACAAGACCTCATCTCAGTCTACAGCTTCCTTGTGAGGGGGAGTGGAGGGGCAGGTGCCGATCTATTCTTTTTAGTGACCAGTGATAGGACCTGAGGGAATGGTGTCAAGCTGCGACAGGGGAGGTTCAGGCTGGATATCAGAAGAGGTTCTTCACTAAGAGGGTTGTCGCGCACTGGAGCAGGCTCCCCAGGGATGTAGTTATGGCACCAAACCTGTCAGAGTTTAATACAATCAAAAGTGTTTGGACAGTCATATGGTCTGAATTTTTGGGTAGACCTGTGTGGTGCCAGGAGTTGGACTCGATGATCCTTATGCGTCCCTTCCAACTCAGGATATTCTATGATTCTATGACACCCACAGGCAGTGTATGTTGCTTTTCTTCATCAGAATATATTATGAGGATTGAGTTCTGTAGGGAAGTCCTGGAAAACTTCTGAAAATATTTTAAATTTGAAATAGCAAAAATGTGGTGAAAAAAACAAGCAAGCAAACAAACAAACAAAACACAATTCTTTTGTGTTTAGCAACTACCTACAGGCAATAAATTTATTTCCTTCCTCCTTTTGTAATGGTTCACAGGAGAAAGCAGTTCTGATTGCTCTTTCTGAATAATTCCATGCTGCATTCATTTCTTATATGAATCTTTTTGCAGTCTGTTGCCTTTTCTACACTGCCTGAAGATTAACTAATAGACATTCAGGCTATTTTAAAGTTCAGCCACTGAGCAATTTAGGACGCAAAAGCAGCCTGTGTGAAGCAATTATTCATTTGGAAGCTTTTACTGTCCTAAACGGTCCATGAATTCAGAGCTACTTAAATGTGGATTCACCATTCTGTTTCCCTGGCATGGATGCTGATAAAAAAAAAAAGGAGAATACTATCACTAAATATGTCATTGAAGTCATGTAACATTTTGGTACTGCCTGACAGACATACTTGTGCCAAAAGTTGCCAGGAGAAGCCATGGCTCCACTATTAGAGAGAAGAAGTTAAAGTGTCTGTGGATGCAGACTAAAATTATTTGTGACAATCATTTTAGGTTTTGATTGTATTTATACCCAAGCAAGAAATAGCTCATAAGATTTATATAAATAATAATAAAGTTTTATTTCACAAAGTTCTAGTTCAGACATATAAAAGCTGAAAACTGAATAATTGTTTTAAAACTCTGGTTGTGTCTGAGCCTGAACACCTCAATCAGGAATTGTTTCCATTCATCTGCTAAAATTCCTACGCCATCATCACTCCCTTTAACCCAAAATGACTGTAGAACAACTTTGCAAAAAATTCTGGATATTATTCAGGATACTGCACTAAGCTTTTAGGATACTTCTATTCAAAGACATTTAGAAGTTTTTTTTTTTTTAGTGCTCAGGGTCCTGTTTTTAGATGACTTAGAGTGAATCTTTTTATTTTTTTTTTAATTTTATTTTTTATTTTTATCCATATCCTTCTCGGTAAAAGTTTAGAGTAAAAAATTCTGCAGGGATATTGTAATGCATTTTGTTAAAAAAGTCTGAAAGCTTTACTTTTCTTAATGAGATTAGATATCATCCCTACAATTGCAATGGCTACAGCCTCTTAGCTGTATTGTATTGTACTGTGTTTCTTCATTTACCTGGTACCACATCTGATTTCGGTGATTTGTTGAAAATCCTTGTAAGTAGACTTTCATTTTCATATGCAAATATGTTCAGAATTCAGAGACAAAAGACAATCCATTGAGTATGAATTTAACAAATAAAGAAATGTCTTGAAGTTGTGACAGAGGTGTTTCAGGCTGGACATCTGGAAAATGTTGTTCACTGCGAGGGTGATTGGACAATGGAACAGGTTCCCCAGGGAAGTGGTCACAGCACGAAGCCTGCTGGAGTTCAAGAAGCATTTGGACAACACCCTCAGACACGTGGTCTGATTTTTTGAGTGGTCCTTTGGCAACACAGGAGTTGGACGTGATGATTCTTATGGGTCCCTTCCAACTCATGATATTCTATGAAAATTCTTTTTTCTTTTTTTCTTTTTTTTATAACAATTTCACATTGGAAATTCAAAATGTTATCTTAGTATCTTACTTTACCTAAATGCTGTGTATTACTTGTGTATTGCTTCTTTTACTTGTACTCTATTACTGTGTATTACTTCTGTCTGTTCCTTTACTATACTCTTTAACTACACTCTAATACTGGGATACTACCACAAAAGGTCTAACTTTGCGACCAACACAGAGCTCATTTTTTTCTGTTTCATTATTGGCATCTGTAGACTTCTTGTAGATACCATAACTTCTAACAGTTTTTGCGTACCTACAATAGTTTAAGACTTTTATTTTCAGCACTGCATGATTAAAAAGGAAGCTTAAGATATAAGCATAGTCACAATCACATAGTAAACTTATCTTCATTCATTTTTGAGGTGGCAATATTCTTTTTACTGAACTATACGTCCATACACAGAGATGCATTTCATTAAAATTGTTTGAATTTATTTTATAGTTATCACTGTTTATAGGGAAAAATCAACAAGTGAAAATGAGCATTCAATACTTAGTATTTTTATGTCCACTGATCACAATTAAAGTTTTGCCTTACAAACTGATCTCTGTTCTCCAATGCTCTAAATTTCAGCTTATTTAGAGTGGGAGTAGATATGAATTTACAACAAATTCAGTCTTCTCTGAGCTTGAAATAATAATAATTTATATATTAGTAATTTGTTTTTCCAGGATTTGATCACTTCTTTTGTACTAAGATGGACACAGATTCTTAACCACAAACACACATATATATGTGTATGTATAAAAATGGCTAGAAAATGCAATTAAGGTTTTGAAACAGAGGATAGGATAAATCACGACTAGTTGGATCAAAACCATTTATCTCAGTGCTATCATTACAAAACTTTGGTAACTAATCAGTAAAACCATTTTTAAATTCTGTTTGACAAGCCAGCCTCAAAAGAACCAAGTGTCTTTGATGTAAGATACTATGGATTGTGAAAACAGTTGAATCATGCTTTTGCTGCATTTCTTTTTGCCTTTCAAGGTTTTGCCTTTCAAAATTCTTTTACTGAGAATATCAAAGACCATATCCAGTCTTTTGCTTAAGCCCCCTTTTGACCTCTTCTGCCCTTTCAGTATGCCCGAAAGAGCAACCAAAAATTACTTGTCACAAAGGGTATCTGCCTGGTGGAAGCAAGGGGAAGGTAGTAATTTTTATCAGTGCTGGACTACTGTATTTCTCAATCAATCCACACCTGACCTAGGAAGAAAACTGTGTAGAGGAAAGCTCTCTTGGCTTTGATTAGACCTTTTGGTTAGGTCTTCTTTCACAGCCTTGGTTATGCCATTGAACAATAGTACATTGTCAAAAGTTGAAAATAACAATTTTCTGAATGGAAAGCAGTAATGAAGACTTATTTCTGTCTGTAAATTTGGAAAGGTATTTTATATATTTGGTAACATTATTTTATGTGTTTGGGTTTGCAGTAGTGGGATAAGTTAAGAATACATACAGTTTGATAAAAAAATAAGTAAAATAAAATGAAGATAAGTCATATAATAAGGGCCAGCAATCACAGAAATATGAACTACTGGTATTAGAAAAGACTATGAGAAAAATACCTTTGCATGGATATTATCATACCAGCAAAGCTTTGCTTCCTACACTACACAGTATACTTTGCTAAAAGGAATAACCTGTTTCAAATAAATTTTATTTTAATCAAAGTTATAATATGGGCTATATTTTCTTTGCAAGACCAGTGACTGATTGCAATTAATAATTTAGTATAGTATGAGGTTAAGGCCCCTTATTTGCTGTCTTATTTATTAAAAATAAATAAATACAGCAAAACTGTCATTAAATAAGAAAATGTTTTTTCTTTCACAGAATGTGCTAGATGGAGTTAATTATTACAATATTCATCTGCTCTTTCAGTTCAATCTTTTTAGGCCAAAATACCGTTCCATTTTTCTGTGTCTTCATTGATTTATTGCACAATTTCCTGACTAAAATATTACAAAATATCTGC